TAACTACAGTTGTGTTCATATGCAGTGTAAACCACTACAGTTGTATTCATATGCAGTGTAAACCAATACAGTTGTATTCATATGCTTAGTGTAATAACTACAGTTGTATTCATATGCAGAGTGTAATTCACTAGTTGTATTTATATGCAGAGTGGGTCCCATTGTCTCACGGACAATGCCATTCTAAGAAACTCGCACAAATTGGTTCATATTTGTTTTTTTCGATGTTATCCTTCTGACAAACAAATGAACACTGGTGAAAAAATAACCTCCTTAGCAAATATAATAAAATGAATTATGCAAAAAAAAGTGTGTTTTTGCAACACATAACAGATTACTCGTGGGAATAATATTACATAATGTACCCATAATAAATTAGATTATGATGGATGCTTGGTTTATAGACCTCAAAAAGTATTAATAATCTACACTGTACATATATATTGATGAGGTTATCTGTAGTTTTTGTGTATCTACAGCTTCATGTATGCTGGATCTATAGCTCCATCGGACACGCATTATTGGATAACCAAAACGGGAAATAATTGCATTTTTTAACCTTTGAACCCAACTGTCAACTTTTATTATAAACATCGGAAAATGATATAATCAATGGAATTCTTTGTTCTTATAAATTAATACATGTAAATGATCATTTATTTGAGTCTATTTTGTGCAAAATTTAATAATGAGGCACATTAAATTTGACAATCTGCATTTAATAATAATTCAAAACAAAATTCAAATTCAAAGCCAAAACAAAATTTGTGTCACCTTTCACTAAAATAAACCAAGATTTTCCCCACAAATTTCCCCACAGGAGCACTCGCTAATTTGGAAGTTACATCCATTTGGACAAAAATTAACTAAAAATATATTCACCTAATTTTGGCTTGAAAAAAGTTGCACAAGTGCTGTGTTTCACCTTGTTTTTGGCTACACATTTAAATGGATTAACAGGTGGTAATATTGACCTATCAGAAGTTAAAAACCTATTCTGAACAGAATTGGCCAATTTATGATGCAGGGAAACCAATGTGGACATAAAAGAGATTATTGCGGTTATTATTATTACAATTTATTGTTTTTTTTTTATTTACTAAATCACTTGGGGTTTCTTTGAACCTTTTAAACGTCATAAATTTGTTCACACCTTTGAGTATGTACATAATATTCCATTACCGACATTACCCGGTAGTTTTATTTTTTATGAATGTTGACAAAAGTTAAAGCAGGGGGAGTCGTCATTGTTTACAAACAAGCAGCTACCCATGAGCCTTTGCATTTTTAGCATGTGTTGTTATCACCGCTTGGGACTCAATTCCTGCTAGTGTACAGGTAACAACCCCCTCGCTTTACACTTTGACACTCAAGTTGTTTACATAAAAATGTAAAATAAATATACATTTTTGATGGAAACAATTTAATAGTTGACAGTAAAAATTAGCGTGTAATCATACTACAGTGTTCTCCCAGGGAATGGCAGTTTTCCCTTTAAATGAAAAAAGCTATCAATCATATATTCATTCACTGTGTTTTTCATCTTTTAATTTGAACTGCGGTTCATTCTGAACAAGCTCTGTTGCTTGGCAACAACATGCTCATCAAACACAATTAACTGTCTCGGTATACCCTGAGAACAAAAATGTTTTTAATTATTTATTTCTAGCTTTTACAGATTAATATACAAAAGTTAAGTTCTGTATCATTACAGTTAATGTATAACTGGTTATATATCAGGCCAATTAGCCAATAGCTTCCATGTAAATATGAATTTCTAATTCTCGGTCTAAATGGGCAATATACCAACTCGCACTATGAGGTCTATAAATGTCATAACATCTGATACTGTGGAATGAAAAATGGCTGCTGGACAAACCTAAATCAGATGGTGCAACAAATTTTCTTGATTTGAATAGACAGGGAATACATATCACATCACACATACCATGTGGCTTTTACAATATTTTTCATGTGAAAAATTTTTTAATCAGTATAAAATTGTCTGAGATTTGTAATTCCTAACAGAACAAATGAAATTCTATTTAAGTGCTTTATAACTTACTGGAAACCACTTTCATTTCGCACGAGACTAATTTTTGTGAATTTCAGACCAGTGAAAATGTTATTGGGGTCATTAAGACAAAAATATTGTCATTTCGTATTTGATCACAACACAAACCAAGATCTAACATGTACAATAAGACATTGGAAGAAAATTAATTAATGTTTTAGTCTTAGCAAGAAATATGTTTTTGTTTATTAGACATCGAAAATGGCTGTCAAGTTGCCATCAACCAAAATAGATGCCGATTTGAATCCTTAATTAATAACAAGTCAAATAACATGCATCTGGGTGCAATAACAAATGATCTCTGTAGCAAAATCTAAAGTGATTGTATATTATATGGCTGCCATTTTTAGTCATTCATTCATGATCTAAACAATATCATTTCATTTGTATTTAAAAACAAAACAAAATCAAAGAAAGCTTAGAAAGAACTCCCGTGTGCTGAGAGTATTGAAGACACATTAAAAATTAATTCAAAATTACTTGTACTTGAGATATTGATGGAATAGCTGAAAACTAATTATGTAAATCAGGTAACTGATATGAACAGATTTATGTGTAAAACTAATAAGGTCTGCACAATGTACCAAGTTTCATTGAAATGTGATTAGAACCCCAAAAATATTAATTATTATGCGAATTAGAGAGTTAATATGAACAGGAACAGATTTTAACCCAAAATTAATCAGGCTGTCTATTGTCCTAGAACATTTATGCACCAAGTTTTATTCAAATGTGATGATCAATACTTGAGATATCAGTATTAATTAATTATGTTAATTAAGTGATTAAGAAGCATACATATTTACCAAAAACTAATATGGTGTATAGTCCTAGGTTCATTGAAATGTGATGGGTACTCTTTAAA